TGTGATCAAACTCCACAAATGAACTAGTTCTAGCAAATGAACTATTCGGTCATCCGGAAAGTCATGACGTGTTTTTCTATGCAAAAATGTGTCACTGACTTTCCGGAGGACCCAATAGTTAGAATTTCATTCAGAATGGCTATATTCTAAAGCCAATTAAAAAAATATATATTGTTTCAATGATAAGCTGACTTGTTTTAAAAATTCTTATCCCACTTTCCAATTTTAAAGTGTAATTTATGAATTACCTGTTTATGAATTGGTTGTTAAAATATCTTTTGGCACTTAAAAAACATCATGAGCATCTTACATTTTCTGCTCTTACCTTTCAATAAAATGAAAACACCTAAATGCTTAATTTGGTATATTTCCAAATGTTACACATCTTACACTATCTCTTCCTGATTAAAATAACTAAAATATAATACTGGTTTTCATTCTTCAGTGGTGATCCAAAATGTTTAGTTAAGCAAAGGAGAAAGCCATCTCTTATATAAATGGTTATCCAATTCACCCTACTGGAGACTGACTTTCACTTGTACTAATGGACTCTATTTACATTAGAAAGAAGAACAGCAATGACTTTTTATGGTCAAGATGCTTGTTCACAGAGACCAGAGTTGGATATTTTGTATGGGATAGTTTCAGCTCTCTTTTTTTCTTCTTCATAGCTACATAGCAACAGGACTTTCCCCTAAGGAGTGATCTATGAGTTTACCATGCAGATGAATTAAAAATTGAGATCCAAAGAGGGGAGGTGACTTCTCACATCAATAAATGGCAGAAATGAGACTCCTAACAACATCCTTCCCACTATGCCAAACTGCCTTCTTAAAGAATATATTTTCTAAGGATGAGTGGATATGAAATAGCCAAATGGCCCATATTAGAATTAAATTTTGAGGCTAGAACCTAGCTGTAGAAACACATTAAGAGATATCCATGATTTCCAAATGTATTTTTTCTGTTCATTTATAACTTCAATTGAATTAGAGTACCAAAATGTAATTTAAAGTTTCTCCAAAGTAATTTAATGCTCAATCAAATGTGTTTAATTTTTACTAAAAACAAAATACCTCATTATGAACACATTTCTTTATACATTTTCATTTTTCAGATAAAAAATATAGTTTACTTGTTCTATTACTGCATTGAAAAAAGTCAATTTGTCTCTGACTCATTAAGAAATGGCAGTGTGGTAAAGCACAATGGATTATAATGCAATATCTGAGAAAACTTCCAATACATCTGGGCAGGCATTTTATCACAGAGCAAGTTTCTTTACAGACTTGGTTTCTACCAAAGAGATATAAAGTCCTCAGTATTATTTAGAATCTATAGACTTCTGAGATCATTTTAAAAGATTATTTTGCAATATTACAAGAGAGGACTATCATATATGTGGCACCAACTTAAAAGGTGATTCTATAGATTACAATCTTGGTTGTGAGTTTTCCATGATTTATGAAAAAGGATATTCAGAACACATATGGGATAAAATAAGCAAAGATAATATATATATATATATATATATATATATATATATGTATATATATATATATATATCTTTGTCTGGAGTGATA